ATTATGTCTATATTTTGAGGTAGGACAACAGAGGTGTTTATTATTTAGACATGAGGATGGATACATATGTGTGTGGTGTCTGATAAGATAATTCTGAAGAGTCTCTAGCGTTGCCCTGTGGCCATCCTGCCATGTGTCTAGATGGAGATTATTCCCCGGCTGAACTTGTAATTGCAAAAGCTTGGGTGTGACTATTGAAAACGAGCCGCTTTCTGATGCCTGTTGTAGACGTGTTGTATTATGTAAGTGGTGGAGGACAGGGAAACCTGTGGCTCAGTTTGTTCTCCTGAGATGTAGGAATCAAAAGAAAGAAGTAACCCTGCAAATTTGGAAAGTATTTTTAAAGGGGAGCTTTCATTAACACAATATCAGCCAAAAATCATGCCGAATACCTGAATAAACTGTGCAAAATACCTGATTAACTCCTTACTACTCTAGACTCTGCAAACTTTATAGAGAAAAGATTTATTTGGACGTGCAGGATTCACTGAACACAATGGCCAGTCTGATCCTCAAATGGTGGCTCAGGCAGCTGCTGCAGGGACTCAGCAACCTGCTGCTGAGGAATAGCAAGGTGAGCGAACGTGGGTCTCTGGGCTGCTGGCAGAGTGATGAATTGGTCCCAGTGGGACTAATAATCCGCAGGTAAGCTGTAAAAAGGAGGCTTTACTGAGAAGGCTGAGGGGCAGCCCAAGGATGTCCCTGTGCTGCCTAGAGTAAATCCGGGTAACTGTGCACTTGGGAGTTTTCCTTGCTGTTCTTGTCCAAAGCTCTGCAGCTGAACAGAGGAGAATTAGGCTGTTTTTCCCATTTATGGGTGCTTACTGCTTCTGTGTCACAACCTTGTTTCTCTGCTAGAGCAAAGGAGCTGCAACAACCAGGGGAAGGAGAAGAGGGAAGGGAGGAAGCTCATTTCAACTGCCCATATTACTAGTGAAAATAACAGAGTGTGTTCTGCTCTGAAAGGAGAATCGTGTTTTCGTTATTACCTTAGAATAAATATCCCTGCCAGATGGGTGATTTGCTGTCCCCACTCTGCTCCAAGATAATCCAAAAATAGGGATTCAGTTGTGGTTAGCAGGGACATCCCGTGGTAGCACTTGCAGTGGAAGGAGGGCCAAGGAGACTTTCTGGGAGCTACTCTGCTGTGCCTGAAGGAGAATGAACCCAGTCCAAGTCCTAACTTGTATTTGCCTGAGGTTAGCCAGAGGAATTGTTTCAAACATATGTATGAATTTGTGTAACACTTGTGTAAGCTCCCTTTTTCTTTGAGGAAACCTTTATTTTAAAAACAATATTTTTGATGTTAAAAATCTTTTTCATATTGTTGATATTATTTTTCTTTTTTCCCTGCAACTCAGAACATGACTGCATATTGGGAAGTAGAAGGGAAAGGAAGATCACGGAAGCATGGTTTCAGATCCCGTTATTGGAGCCCTGATGTGTGTTCTGAGAGCTCGACAAAGCTCTTGAACGTAGTAGCTCATAGTGATTCTCTTATGGTTAGAGAATATGGTTATGTCCGAGGAGAGTTGTGGTTACGCTGTCATTGTTTTTTTCAATGAAGTTACAAGCTTTAAAAAGACCTTATGTTTTACTGTATACAGAAATGCCAAGAATACGCTATTCAGTGTCAAAGATTTTGTTGACAAAAAATAGTCTGGTCTTTGCGTATTCGGACATGGACGGATTAAGATGAGCTGTTATTTGTCTCCAGTTAGAAATTTGTGGTTATAGGTGCACTACTTAAAACTTATTGAAAAGTAAAATATCAAAATTCATTCAAACATTACCTTAAAAGACTTCCAACTTGATATATACTGCTACAGTGCATCATCTCGGGTTATTTTTGACTTGTCTGGTGTGATAGCAATGTGGCAACAGAACTGGATTTGACATAATGCAGCATGACTGATGAGGTACCTGAATGTGAAAGACTTTTCTGGTCACAGCACTGAAGTATCTATTTTTATAGAAAACTTCCTTTCTGCCACCTCCCCATTCACAGTAGATTCTCATTCATATTTCCTTGCTTTTTGTTTATTTTTGTTGAGTTTCATTATATAAGTAATTACCTTTCTATATGGTGATAACTTTATATTTTTTCTGCAGTAAGAATGTTACTTCTGTTTTTGCACTCTTCTTTCTACTGACTTTATTAGAATGTTAATGGCTAGAAACTTTGCCCTTAAGTTAGAAGGGATATTCTGCAAGGAGGGGATATTCCTTCTTGTCCAACTTGAAGTAGCTGTATGTATGTAAATATTCATGTTTTTAATAGATTGATCATTTTTAAAGAGATAATGGGTAAAAGTCCGATTTCTTTGAAATAGGTGATGGACTTTCAAATTTGAAAATACATTTTTCTGATGTATAAACTGAAGTAAAAATTATTCTTTTCACATTCCTGTTTCACCTCAAATCTGAGGCAAGTAGGATGAATGGTTATTCAGTAATATAGAAAGGGAGATAAGACAACTAGTATGTTGCTTCAGGTAATATGATAGCACTGCCATTGTGAGACAACTGTTTTGAAGCATTATATGAGTCTGCACAAGCAGAGTGATTCGCCAGCAGATTGGGTTTATTTTCTTCTTGATTCTTGTTCCCTCTCCACAGGAATCTCTGTGATATATAGGGTGGGTTCCAGTCCCTTCCAAATTCATTTAATGATGCATAATGTGCTTCCGTGGCATCTCTTCAGTAAGTTTTCTTTGCTGGAGATAATTTCAACTTTTGCTTCTGGGTGATGTGGCTTTGGGCAGTATGAAAGAAGAATGGTGAGCAATGGACAGACGGACTAGCAAAATTAAAAAATCTGGTTTTATGAACAATTGCCATAGGTTCTTAAAAGAGACAGTCAGGCTCATGCCCTTTAAAAACGGATATTTCAAAGCATCTTTCTGATGGCGTGCCTCAGCCAGGGGCCCCATCTTCCTAAGAACAGAGATGAAGTTGATGTCAATGAATGGAGAGGTGATATGAAAGATTTGTAGGTGGGTGAAGGAACCACAAGTCTTTTGATAGAAAATTTATGGAAGTAATCTTTAGAATCTTAAAATCACTAAACTAAAACCTTCTGTGACTTAAAGAAACATAGAAGACTTCACTTCTTATGTTATACTTTTATGTTTCTTAAGAACCAAAATATACTTGAAATGAAACTAGGTCATCTTGTAGGTAAAAACAGACAAGAGAGGACAAAGGTTTATTGCAGTTTGTATTCCTGTCTACACAAGTAGGACAAGTGTATCTAAATTTTAGCATGCAGAAGAAAGCCTGTAAGTAAGTCTGTTCATCTGGATAAGTCTTGTTTAAGGCATTATTATTCAATATCTAATCCATAAGTGGAATAAAACAGAATATGTTTAAAGAAGATGAAAGCTCCTGTGGCAGCCATTCTCTTAATGAATCATTGTATTCTTTGCCTTTTTTGACTATACTTTTGAGGTACATATCTCCCTTCTGCCCCCCACCAACACTTTTATTTTAAAGCTTTCAGTACAAACTGAGTTACTTTGTTTAAAAAAAAAAAACAAGAGGGGGCAAAAAGTTCAGATAGTCCTCTTCATTTAAGGAGGAATGAAATCATAATATCTGCGTTCTGTTAATAGCTGGTATGTTTTCAGTGGTTTACGTAAATTTGAATTGTTGTGGAGGATAACCTGAGAGAAGAAGTTGACATATGAAAACTATATAGTCGTGTACTTGTACTTAATTATGTGAAACTATTTTTTTCTCTTCATATACTACCATTATTTTTCAAAGATTGATCCTGTTCTAATGAAAGGGATAGAAACTCCTTGAAAAATTACCACGTTATGTCACCAGATTGAAGAAGAAAGCAAATTAGTCTCTGTACATCAAGATGATACTGTTGACATGGTTTTACAAGCCATTCTAGTCTGAATCAAAGAATAAATAAAAAGCAGATGTTCTGGGGAGTGCAAATAGTACCGTTTGTACTGGAGCATTTACAGGGCTGTGCAGAGTTCTTAGAGGTTTTAGCAGAATTGGTGCTTTTGCAGGTGTGAGGTAGGATGCCGGCCTTGCCCTGTAGAGTGTAAAATCTACAATATAGTGTTTCTCTGCTAAAATTCTGTTTTGAGTTAACTTTGATGAACTCTTATTAACTTTTTATRCCTTTGTCCTCTTAATATGATGGTATCCATGCATGGTTTTGCAAGATGTGGTATTGACATCTTAGTATGTGTAGCGCAAAGATGTTACTGAGCTGTTTAAAACTGCTTGTGAATAACCTTACAATCAACACGTAAAAGCAAAATCCCATTTGCTTTGAGTTGAGTTTTATTTTCAGCACGTTCATTTTCAGCAAGCAGGTTAGAAAACTGACCTCTTTGACACTAAGTACTTAAGGAGTTTCTTTAAATATATTTTTCATAAGCCTTCAGTCACTCCTGGAGAGAATGATTGCATGCCTACCCATATTTATGCATCACTGTAATTTGCAACTGTCCTATGTTTCTTAGTCCCAAAGTTACTTGCATAAAAATGAAACTTGTCTAATAAATATCTCCAGTCCTATATATTGATAATAACTGAACTGGTATTTGATGTGTCTGAGAGCATCTGGAGCTGTTCCTTTAGGAATTGTAGATTATAATTCTTGCCCACTGGATTTTTTTTCCTGTTTTGATACCTATGCACCATTGTAGCTCTTTAGCAAGAAAAACACCGGAGGTTTTGGAATCCTAAACATTGCAGTATAAATAATGTATTTTAAAATATATTAATCTATACTGAGTCTGGGTTTTTTTGTCATGTGTAGTCTAGCCTGTCAAATTATGTTTCTAGTATTTCAGTATTCCCATTTTTATGGTATTAAGCTAGTAAGTCTTTTTAGTATAGTTTTTTGGATGTTACTGAGTTAACAAAAAAAGCAAAGCAGTGTTGAACTCATAAATATAGATTGCGTTCTAAGAATGCTGTATTATGTCCTAAATTTCCTCAGTTTAAAATAGATTTTTAAATTTCTTTAGGTCAAACATAAGGCCGGACTATGCAGATACAAGTTTTCATGAGTTCAAAATGCATACCTTCAGTCGTGTGACATCCTGCAAAGTCTGCCAAATGCTTCTGAGGTAAGATTTAAACTCTTTCTTTTATCAAGTGAAGTATTTAGAATCTAATGAGAATGTGCAAATGCACAGCTCTATCCAAAGGCTTGTTACTTATCTAAGATAGACAAGCCATAAGATTGATTATATGTGGTATTTCTTGTTSTTATGGTAGATTTTTATACTAAAATCTCCAAATATTAGCCGAAGTGTTATTAAAAGCTCATGTTCTCAAGCTGCAACTTCATTTTTCAGGAAACTGTTTTATTCTCTTGTCTTTTAAGAATTACTTAATTCAGTAGATGGAAGTCAAGTGTGTGAGCAACAGCAACCTTTCATAGAGCTCTGACCAGAATGGTTGGTCCACAGGTCCCTTTGTAGGTCACCAGTCACAAGAGCAGATGGAATATTTTTTTTGGAAAGGTAGATGAGGAGGAGCATCATAAATGTTTGATATAAGGAGACTGCTTTCTGAGCAAAAGAACTGTGAGGTGTTACTGAGCCAGAGATTTGCAGATAAACTGCAAGTAGGTGTTAAAAAGCCAGCTAAGAGATGTTAGTGGACCACCATGAGAAATTCTGTATCTTCCTCTTCCCCTTAGAAAATAGGTACACATGTGCATATCTCTTTTTCTATTTCATTATGTGAGCTATCTTTAATGAGCTACCTAGTTGCTTGTAAGTAAGGAAGGCCTAATGGTATAGAGGAATGTATAGAAAGTAAATCTCAGTGTGAGCCAGGCATGCAAAAGCTCTGCAGACTGTTGCCTGTTGAGGTGCTGCTGTTGGTTACTGTAGAAAAAGGCAACTGTAGCCTAATGGAAGGGAAGCAAGGGTAGCCTTTTGGGTAAGCACGGACAGAGGATGCAAGGACATGAGGGATATGTTTCTTTCTGTCATGTGCTTTTCTTTAGCAATCTTTTTCCTGGATGCTTTTATTGTCCTAGCTTTGGAAAGAATTTTTGGTGACGTTTTGCTCAGCGTAACAAGCTCTGAGCAACTGTAAAGAGTGGTGCAGACGTGGCTCACTTGACAAGGGTAGGGCCATTAATTCCCGTGCATGAAGCCCTATGGTGGAGGCCGTGACCATGCTGCAGCGCTGCCATTGCTGAGGAGCGGTTGCCTGGCTGAGGTCACAGCCTGCGTGACGCCTTGGTGCTCTGCAGAGAGCTCTGCAGAGCCTCGGCTCTCCCCTGAGCTCCCTTGAGACATCCAGAAATGTCCCTCCGTTTGGAAGTTTTCTTAAGAGGCAACTTAGGCTTGCAAAGTGCCTACATTTTTGAAAATGGATTGTCATTTTAAGCTTCAAAATGCTCAACTAAGATTTTCTGTGTGCTCAAAAGTAAACCTCAGTGTCTTATTTTTCAGAAGTGGGGATAAATTCCCCACTTGGAAGCTTCTGCAGTGAAGGATAATTTTGTGTCCTAATAAAGACACAGATATTAAAGAAGTAGGAGGAAAAAAAGAATGGATTGCATTAGAATATGTTATATTTACTATGTATGTACTCAAGTTTGTATATTCTAATGCTTAAAATAGGCTTCTATGTTTAATTTAAAAAGCAACACCTCTAGCAGTCTAGTAATTGCTGTGGCAGTTGCTCTACCTCGTGCTCCACATAAGCTTACTGAGTCTTGTCTTCATGTGTGCACCTTGGGCTTCCTTTGAAGCAGAAGGTGTCAGATTAGACTAGATGCCCGATCCCTGGAACGGGTCAGGATAATCTTGGAGACAGCCAGGTCTGCCGCAAAGAGTGAGCAGATGCAGTGAATGCCTGCAAGTCACACAGTCACTTAGAGGCTAGGTGCAAGTACAAAGGCTTTTCTGTTAGCCATGCCATGGATTTTACCCAAGAGAAGCCATGGACAAATCTGAAAATCAATTTCCTGAGACTCAAGTTCAGATTCCACTTAGTTAAGGGAAATCTGATTAACACCGAGTGAGGAAAGTAACTCTTTTCTTGAAAGCTGTGGATGGTAGCTAAAGTGTGCCCGGATATCTTTTCAAGGTGCACATTTGAAGCCATGAGCTATTTTGTGAATAATATTAAAACTCTCTGTTAATGTTTAAATATATATTCATACTTACAGCCTGCTCAAAATGGAGCTTATTCTTCATGTTGTCTGGGGACGTTCCGATGGAGATGAGGTGCAGTGGGACAGACACATAATGGTACAATTTCAAGTGTACTGTGCCAAAGTTGCTTTGAGCTAAATTGAAATGAAAATACTTCTAGGTTACTGGTAGAATAACTCTCTGGTTGTGAGATTTTAAATGACTGGTAGTGATGAAAAGCAGCTGAGCTGCTTGTCAGTTGTTGTCGCTGTTTCTCAAGCCTTAAGAACTATCATTATGCAGAACAGCCAAAGACTTCAAATACCTTCTGCTGTGTCTCTTATTTCCTTTATGCATGGAATTTATCACCTCTAATGTATCACTACCTAATTTTATTTTACAGGGGAACGTTTTATCAAGGCTATTTATGTTCTAAGTGTGGAGCTGGAGCACACAAAGAATGTTTAGGAAGATTAGACAATTGTGGCAGAGCTAATTCAGGTGGTAAGTCATTTTTATTGTTAGAATACCATTTTTAATTAGGACATAAAACTTGCTAAGTATAATTAAGGTTTAATTTACTTCTAATTTGTGTTTATTGTAACATACATACTTATGAAACTACCATTTATAAGCACAATTAGAATTGCATTTAGAATTCATAGGGATTTTTATTCAAACTAAATTGAAATGTTAGGAAGAGCAAACAACTGTATGGCAGACTGGATTTCTTCACCAATATTGGTGAATTGGGAACAAGGGAAACAAGGGAAACATTGGAGAAGTTGGGAGAAACTTAAGGTGCAAGGAATTGCTGTTTTTAATCATAAACTGCTCATAAGTAACACCTATTGTATGGCATATGACCTGTCACTCTCACTGTTCAGCTTTTAAGTCTCTGTCAATTATTGTATTCTCTTCCCAGCTCCTCAAGCTGTTTGTCTTGCCTCAGCTTCCTTTTTGATCTCTCAGGTTCCTGTGGTTTCTATCCACTGGCAATATTCACAAAAAGATGATGAATGTCTCACTACTGGCCATATTTAAGGAYCCTTTCCCCTGCCCTCTTTTATTTGGTGGCTGTTCCTGAGCCTCTCCCTGACCATGTTCCCTTATGCTACTCTAGCTGACCTCCTGCCTTGGGGATGTTCCAGTCTCAGCTACCCCAGTCTCTCTAGTTTCTGATTTCTCTCTCTGACACTTCTGATTCTCTCTGGCACCGTGTGTGTGGCGGGTCTCACTGCTAATTTTAGCTGTTCATTCTCATCACCTGCCCTCTTTCCTTTCMCTTCCCTGTGTCTAGGCAGGTGCCAGTACTGGGCTGGTTACCCTCTAGCCAGCTAGTTGTGTAAGCCTAGTGCCTTTCTGATTCTTTTCTCTGTGCAGGTTCCCAACAATTCTTTCTAGAGGTGGCCCACCTCAATCTCTCGTTAGGGTTCATTTTGTAAAAGCTGTTTGAGGTTTAAAAAAAAAAAAAAAATCCCCTAAACACACTAATTTTTGGAAAATGTGACTATTTTCTTTTATGTTGATTTGCTGTCCTACTTAGTTCTCTAAAAGCTGTACACTCCTTCCCCAATTTGCTTCATAGTAGTTTGTATGTGAATTTTCTCATATCTCACATTTTAAAAATATTACATCAGCCTCTTGCACTGGATTATTTTCTTTTGTTGTTACTACCTACAATCTTCATACAATCTTTTTGCAGAGTTAATCTCTCTTTTACTGCTTGAATTATGTCACAACCTTGTTTGCTGCCCTTCACTGAGCTGCACGGCTGCAAGAATTTGGTTCTAGCTTTTTTTTGTTCCTTTCAGAACAGCAGGAGGCTGCTCCTGCGTTGTCCGTTTGCATCACTTCCCGCTTCCCCTTGGATTTGTCTCCATTTGCTGCTGCAGTCAGTGAACTTGTTCTTGGTTGTTGGAAATCTTAGGGCTATTCTCTGACCGTTGTCTCTCTCTTTTTTCTAATATTATTTCAATATAAAAAAGACAATTTTAAAAGTGCTGAATGTTCTTTTAAACATTATTTAAAATTATTGCCTTAATGATTCTCTTGAGTCCTCCCTCTGAAGGTGTAATCAAATGGGGTATGTTGAGCTTAAATGCAGGTATTACCTCTTCTGTCCTCTCTGCGAAACTTCCCAGAGTTCTGTAGCTGTAGCCCAAGTTAAGAGTAATGCATCTTCCCCTGCTCCTAAGGCAGAAGGACAGGCAATGTGTGGCTCTGGCTCCCCGCCAGGCTGTTCTGCGAACACAAGCTGGCCTCAAAAAGGCACTGGGGGAAAAACCTGCAACTCTTTTATTACTCACACCATTACTCACACTTCTTGCCAAGCTGCTTGTTGCTCTGTGTATGAGCAAGTGTGGAAAGGACTAATTATTTTGCCCGTTTTGTTGGGAATGGGTGTCTCCACCTAATGAGTGATGTTGGCCAGCTGATAGGAAGACTTGGAATTTTTTTTTCTGCAGTTTTCAATTTCTACCCTTTATTTGTCTTCTTAGTTAGGGACTATAAGCTGTGCTGCCCATTCGTGATGTGCACAGGAGGAAGGATATAATGAGGAGSGTTACCAGGTTCTCCTCCTCTCCATGGTCAAGAAAGGCTTGGGACAGTTCAGCGTACATTTARAATCCTGAGTCTTGCAACTTGAGTATGACTTATTTTGTGGAGCTCTCCTTTGTGCTTTCCCAGAGCTATACTGAAGAATTTTGTCTCCCATGTGTTTGTTTTTCTGCCAGGACCTAAAAGATACGTAACATTATTAAAGATGCAGATATCATRTAAAGATGAAGATATCATGTAAAATTTAATGTTTGAATTGTATTGATGGAAAAATATACAGTTTTAATTTTGGAGATTTTCCTTTTGCAAATCTTTTAAAGAAACTAGTGTCTGAAAAATCTTCYGTGTTTGTAGTGGCATTATTTGATGCTCCTGGGGAGAAATTTGCTAAGGTGGCCTGGGAGTGTTGTTAGATAAGATATAGTGTAGTGGAGCCTGAATGCTTTGGTGATAGCAAAATGTCTGGAACGTTTATTGTATTGCTATGTATTTCTTTTGTTTCTGGGGGACTATTACAGGTTTTTTTGTAGAGGAAAATGGATACAAAACACAATCATCCTTTTAGGAAGCTGGACATTATTATTCCCCAGCTAGGTGGTATTAGTTATGGTCCCAAACATGGAATATGTGTATCCTGGGATATATGGATGGTCTGTTAAATACAGGATTCTGTCATTCTGCCAGTTGCTGGTTCCCGATGCCTCACAAGGAAGTGGAAACTCTGCCTCTGGTAGGCACTGCCTGGGGGCGATGCTGCTTTCTAATCCTACTGGGTTTTTAGGGTCGTGGTGCTTGTGGTTGCTCTTTGTTTTTCTGGTGCTCCAAGAGTTTTTGCATATTGTTAGTGTTTTTGTGGATTAAATTACCTAATTGACTGTGCTTCAGAAATTTTGCAATAATGTTTTATAGTTTTCTTATTTTATGTGTTGGGTTTAAAATAGTTGCCTTTTAACATCAACATGTTAATGAGATGCCTAAAAGGAAACGCTTGACTGCAATATGCTGTTAGATATCTACATGTAACATAGACACTTTACACTGTCTATTTTGARTTTTCTGTCTCATGACCTCTTATTAGTATCCTCTCTGTGCTGAATAGTTGTAAGTTTTATTACTTAAATACCTATTTATCATTTTTAAACCAAACAGTTTCCATGCCCTGGCTAGTTTTTCGTCAGCATTCTGCAAACCTCCTCTATGTCTAGAGACCTATTTGAAAAGAGGTGATCAGAATTCAAAGCACTGCCAAATGCGACTATGCCATTGGGCTTCTTGAAGATATTTACGCAGTATTTTCTTCAGTTTTTTTTTCCAGAACAGTTTAGTATTTTGTTTTCTTTTTAGACCACAGAGCAGATGTTTTTGTAAAGCTTCCTAAAATGATGCCTAGAACTTCCCTGAATGGATTAAGTCCTTTTGTATTTCAGCCTGAGTCTCAGTTGGTGGAAATTTCCAAAGACAGACATCCAGAGACAACCGAAAGCTGTAGAATGGCAAATTTAATAAGTGTCAGGTTTAGATAATACAGTTATGAGGGAAACACTGACAACATTTGGACATAAATTGCTCTGTTGTCACTGTCTTACACAGAAGCAAATGCCAGCTCTTCAGATGCTTTGTTTCAAAGAAGGCCAATTCAGCAGGCTGTACAAGTTGCAGTGATAAAAGCTGCTGTGTTAATCAGTGGAATTAGTAAAAAGAACAAAATGTACATATTATCCCTTGTTATTGGTCCTGCCTGTGTTGCCTTGAGCCTGCAGTGCTCGTTGAAACCCTCTCCACTCATCAACAGTTTGCCGTTTTTTCCCTGAAATCCTGCCTAGCTTCATGCTGCAGCAGCCCTCTCATTTTACTCTTACACCCCATCATGTTTTATCTTGGTGACTTGAAATCCTCAAGGTCCAATCCTTCTTCCTCCTCCTGTTCCAGCAGACTCCTTGAGTGCAATTGCACAGCTTCAAACACACCTGAAGACTTAGCAGCTATGTGCACATATTTCTGATTTAGGGCCCTTCATAAGGACTTACGTGCTATTTCTTTCCAGTGGCTGATACAGAGATCTTGTGTTATCTTGCAGATGCTTCTAGCTTATGAACTGCATGCCTGTGTCTTATTTTGAGGCCAAGTTTGCATTTACTTCTCTGCTGTTGCAGTTGCATTAGTTGGAAGGGTTTCTCTTTGGGAACAGATAGGAGTGAGTCCTTTGGTAAGGGAGCAGGAGAGAGAGGCACCTTCAGCACATGCAGGGAGAAGATGCCCGCCTACCTCTTCCTGTTTGTATCAGGTGTGTTGTTCTGCAACCTTTGCAACTTGATCAGAGATGATGAGGATTGCTAGGACAGGCATCAACGCTCTCCCCAGAACGTGTTGCAGGACTCCCCTAGTTCAGCCTAAGCCCATTTCCTAACAGCAGATTTACCAATTCCCTTCTGGTCCCAGGCTGGACTTCTRTCAAGTCTACCGCTTTGTGCTAGGTATGCTCACGCCAAGGTTTTCTGGTTTCACCAGCTATTGAATATTTCGGTTAGATGAACCTCCAATAATAGTTCGTCCAGAATTTTAAAATACTTCAATATTTTAAATAGAGTGCTAAACTCACAAAATCCTCTTAGCTTTTCTTGGGAAGAGAAAAAAAGCAYCAAGGCATAGATGGATTAGAAACCATAATAGGGAGTCATTGTAATAGTAATTTTTAAGTAACTTGTGCCTGTTTCCTTTCTCCTTCACATAATTCCATTTGGAAAAGCACCACTTTTAGTTACGTGGGAAAACAGTATCTTTCTTCAAGTGTATGATGAACTTAGAGAAAAAAGAAACATGAATGGATTGAATTTAAGGTAGCTCTCATACTGTAGTGCCTATGCCCAATAATAGGGTCCATGCTGTTCGAGTAGCAATTATCTGCAACAGCACATTAGAGACTAGCCAAGAAAAGAGCGTGTTAGTTGACACCTGAGAGGAGTGGACAGCTTTCACTGCTTGCCTYTTTGCTCACCTTGTCGATTGCTGTAGATCTGCTGGCCTCCATCCAAAGCTCCTGTGGCAGCAACATGGCCCAGGAAGGCTCATGTACCAGAACATGCTTTGGAGCGAGGTCACTTCTGCCTCAACTTCAGCCAAGGTTCAAGTAACCATTTTACTAAAGCTAAACAACAGTCTCGTGGGGAGCTTGACTTTTGTGCAAAGTCTCACTTTGCTTCCAGGTTATTTACTTTTTCTTCTAGTTGGGGAGTATTACTTGCTCATTTCCGGTCATTGCAAGGTGGTTCACTTTCATTATTACTTACCAAATCCGTGTTTTCAATGTTTTGAGCTTTTCTTTATAAAAAGAAGGCAAGTAGGTTCCTGCTTGCTCTTTTGTTTTATTTTCCATTTAGTCAGCATGTAAATCCAGCTGCTCTGTTGGATCTCGGAGGAGCTGGCTATTCCGCTTTTTGCTCCATGCTCCTTCACTATCAGGGTCAGCTGTTGCTGCTCTTGCTTTTGTAGTAAACTGGAATTACGGCAATGTGGCCCAGTCGTATCATGGCTCCAGTGAATAAACAAAATCTAAAAGTCTGCAAGATGTTGGCAATAAAAGTAGTTTGTTATCAGAATTTGAAACCTTGTCCTTGGCATATTGGTGATGAGCAGACCCATGCATTAAAATTGTCATGGGTAGAATATCTGCTGGAGGATATTCTCTTTTTTTTTTTTTTTTCTCCTGTGAAAGTAGAAATAAATAGGAATTAGTGGTTTAGTTCTTGTAGTAGGGTAACATTTGGAAAAAATTCCTATGAGGAAGCAATTCACAAAATTTGAAGAAGAAAAAAAGGTGAAATCCAGATATACTGAAATTTTGATGAATAGAGAGAAGAAGGTCTTGTATTTTGAACAAACCTTTCTGTGGAATTACTGATGTTTTGTATTTATGTGCTAAGGGGTGAGGAGGAAGGGTCACAAATAGCAGCTGAGTTTGTGTCAGCCGAGTTTGGAGCCTTCTTAAGGGTTTAGTGYAGAGGAGGCTTCAAGGAGTAATGTTCTCTAGTGGAGCTGCTCGTGCTGCCTCTGAGGTTATTCATTAGCCTTTAGTAAAAACACTGCAGGGTTCAGGTTTCTTTTTTTTTTCTTGTTTTTTTTTTCTTGAATCTAAGGATAAAATAAAACACCTGTGAATTGTGAGGAATACTTATCACCTTATTACCTATTAATGTACGTAGTGTTTTGTTGAGCCCAGTGTGAGCCCGAATACTGGAAGTTAAATCAAGGAATTTGTTAATAATTTAGTATGAAAAATATTGAGATACTGAAATCATATAAAAAGCCATCATAAGCTCATGCTTATGATATTTGCTAGAGGAAAAAAAGTAATATTCAACAGAAGGCATTAAAGAGTTCATTCTTTCCTATAGAAGAATAGGAAGGCATTTCCATTTCAGTTTTCTTAACAGTGATTTGCAGAGTTAAAGGTAGCCCATAAAAAAGAGAGAAACCTTAAGCCTGAACAAGTAGTGTTGCCAACCCTTCACCCTTCATTTATCCAAATGACTTTTCCTCAATTTTAAGTCATTTATAATGTTGTGGCAGATTAAAAAAGATGAGTTTCTACATAAGCTAAAAATTTGGCAGAAGTTGCAAAAGCTGTATCTCACTGTGAAGGTAAATACCAAAATTATGCTGAATTTCAGCAGTACTTATGCAACTCATTCCCTGAGGCTCCTTAGAAAACCTCAGTGCCTACGTGCACCTCTGCCTTTGGGGCTGGCTCTTTCTTGCCCCTCTCCTCCCTTGCGCTTGCTTAGCTTGCAGATGCGAATGACAACAACTGGGCAGGTTGTGACCGTGACAGTGCTCTCTGAGGGTGACAGGAAGGAGCCTYTTTGGCAGCCACGCTGGGAGGGCTCGCAGTGCTGGCAGCAGGCGCGAGGCCGTACCGCTCCTGCCCAGCTCCACATCCCCGCCCGGCGAGCACTGTCTCGGCATGCCCTCTTATCTCCCCGCGAAGGATTAGTGCGCCAAAGTTGCCTTTTCCCACACTTTGCTGTTTCATGTAACTTTTGTAGCAGAATGAAGTTTATTTGCATGCGAAGCTCTTGACTTGCTTTATTGCTGTTTACTTTGCAAGGTCTTGGAGTGAAGTTTGCAGGAGCGGCYGTAGCTGGGGCATGCGCAGTGCGGCCTGGGGAGTGCACGGAGGTCAATAGAGCTGTGTGCCTTGTAATAAGGCACTGAAACTAGTCCTGGAGTATGCTCAAGTATTGGCAGTGCCATCAGATYGGACACTCCTAGAGAACTGCAAATAACACCCACACTTTTGTGTGGCTGTGTGTGTTCATGTGTGCAAAAATACCATCTTAATGTTGTCCTCATCACCTATGCGTTTTTTAGTCACATTTTTAAATAGTACAAAAGATTGAGAGCAAGCGAGCAAAAATATCTAACTTCAGATTCTGCTGCATAGCAGWGCAGTGGTAATGGGTTTGGGTATGTGAGCTACAAGAAGCTTTGAAAATGAAGGTTTGTGCATCCTCACACGCGCACCTCGGAGTGCTCTGAAAAGACAAGGATGCAAGGACATACAGCCAAGAACCCTGATTTCCGAGTCCCCAGCAAGTCAGTAGTTACAAAGTGCTTTGGAAAGGTTATAAAAGTTTGCAGAGTTTTAGCTGATCTGCTACATCCAGCTGTAGGGCGGTTTAATAACTCGGAGGAAGGAGTTGCCTTTCTTGCCTTGGTTGAGCATTAACTGTGCGGGGCCAATAGGCGCAGGGCGCACGGAGCCGCCGCCCGCGCCCTGGGCCGCGGTGCTCGCTGCGGGTCGCAGGTAGCTGGCAAAGGCGGTGCTGGGGCTTGCAATACACCACGGCGCACACTGAGAACAGCGTGTAAAACCCTCAAATTTGCAGTCATCAATAATGCCAATTTTTACTTTTGTTTCAGAACACGGGAACCTGAAACACGAGGTAAGCATTTGTTTCCCCTCTCCTATGGTATTTGTTTTGCTGGTGACATAAGAGTTTCCTGATTTGAGTTGTGCGCATGCTAGTGCAGCCTGTGTGCTTTTTTTTTCTGCCTTTAATAACGTGTTTCTTCAGCATGCTGATAGAAGTCATCTAAGAAAAAGAGTACTTACAACAATCTATAAATGTATTATGTTCAAGGTACAAGTCTAATTTCATTCCGTGTCACTTATGGCTTAGAGCACTGGTAGAAGTAGATATATGAATTTTTTTTTTAAAGTTGAGGAAAAATAAAATGCTACTTCAGCTTATGTCTAGTCCTTTAGTGCCTCTAGGCCGCRTTTAGAAGTAGTTAAAACTTCTTTCATTGCCATTAGGAAATTGTGCTGTTTACAAATGTATGCAATTCCACGCAGTTCCTATGAATGATGGAAAATGTGCACTGATCTTTTATTTAAAGAGATTTTTGTCACAACAGTATTCAGAGGGTGTAGAGTTTATTTAATCTTGACAGARTGATAAAATGGGTGAAGAAGGGGGAAACTAGTGACGTGGTCTACTCCGGGTTAGATACAAGCACTTGGGAAGTCACACCAGAATGTTTTCTCACGTGATGCTGGTGCCTTTCCACTGCCATGCAGAAGGGCATCCCTTTGTTTTCTTGTCTACCAATTTTGATGAAAGGCAGCCCTTTACACGTAGGCTGTAATAGTTTTTATTGCCATTTTAGACCAGACGTTCACAGTAATTTAACTGTTAAAGCTATACTGTGGTTATGAGAAGCGTATGAACATAAAAGTAACTTTTCCCTGTTGCTTAGTATCTGTTTTTGTTGCTCTCTCTAAAATTGGTAATGAAATAGAAAGAAAATGATTGCTGACATACCTGGCACAGTGGGGGATTGATCCTTATAGCTGCAATTGCAAAAACAGTGGACTCATGTGCCCCAGTCTCTTCTCCAGTGTATGCTACCTGCCACCTACCTACCACCCTGGCTCCTGTGTCTTCTTATCTTGCCCTAAAGATACCAACTTAGCAAGAATATTTCTTTTATAGGAAAACTATGGCCCAGTCCCTGTGCTTGCCGGGCTCCTGGCGCTGTGGTCAACATGCAGTCATGGGGAAGCCGTAGACAGATTGCTTAGGGTTTGTTATGGCCAGGGTTKCCAGACTGCGCACAGCTAACTATGAGGAACATGCAGCGGGATGCGGCAAATATTTATCCTCCTTATAGCTAATCCCTCCTGTTCCTACTTTGATTATTAAATCTCTTTGTAAGAAGAATATAGTTGTATGGCTACTGATTTGAGGTAAARTGCTAGGACTACTATAACTTTTAACAAAATTGGAAAAAAAATGTTATGACTGTCAAAAAATGCTTGTTTAATTCTTTTAGTGCAAAGGGGAACTTATACCTAAGTGAGCATGTCAGGTAGGAAGAGGTGAATTGACATTTTGTACCAGAAATGTACGAAAAATCTATGGAGATTGTGATTTTTTTCTTTAAGGCCGTTGAGTAGGGTTTTTATGCAATTCAATTCAGCTACTCAACTTTTTTTTCTTAGAATCATTTTGCATCACATCCTATAATACATGATTTTTTTTCCATCGCACAGGCACAGTATTTTTTTAGTTAAATAATAATTTCCTGTACCTTTGTTTGTACTTGCTTTTTCTSCCTTCTGGCCCATTTTCCTCTGCCATGCAAATGCACAGTTACTCACCATTCTGCATCAATCCTTATGAACAATACAGTCTCCATTTGTGAAGAGAAAATAGATATAATTGAGCCTTTTCATGTTATTCATAATATTACCTTAATTTCTTGCAGCAGTTAAGTCTTTCTCCTGTGGCTGAAACCAAACTTATGTCATCTCTTTAGTTAGTACTGTGGGCTACAAAGAGCATAAGTCCAAAGATTCGAGGGGTTGAAAGCTGTTTGTAAAGGAAGCTTTTGATTTTGGCACTGTGCTACAGGGTTTAGTAATTCGGCTGTGCCTCGGGTTACTGCTTTCTGACTCGCCTTTGTGTGTGTCCTGCATCAGTGTCTATCAAGTGCGAGCAAATGGAGCAGCCTAATTGTGCCTTTTGTTATGCAACAGGCTTCGCCCTGCTCGCCTTGATTAAATAATGTAATATAAGAAAAAAGGCAGGCACGAACCTTCATGCAAACAACCGATTAAAACAGACTTGCAAAGGCAGAGGACTTGTTTGCAGATATGGTGTTTCACAGGGATCCATATCATTGCCTACAAGCATGAAATAGGTAAAACCCGATGTTTACAAACAATGTATCGTGGTCCTGTCAGTGTTGTCAACTTTATACAACGCTGGCCCCTCTGAATGTGGAAAAGAGAGAGGGACATTATTAAATATATTTAAGTATTTGCTGAGAAAATGAAGAATTGACGAGTTGCCCAAGAAATTCTAACTGGTGTGTAAGCATGAAGTGGCAACATGGAAAGTTCCTACCCCATTAAACCAACGCTGTGCACATTGCTGTGCCTGTGGTTCTCGACAYTGACCAAGGAAAATGATGCCAATCTACATACCTCTCTATTGAGGAAATTGTGTCTATTAACATCATATCACAAATGATGAAATCCTTTTTTTGGGGATAACGGATGCTGGATGTATGAAGAAACCTTCTACAGAGTAAAAGTGAACAAATCTTTCGAGTTTAGTGTCAAAAAGGTTGATATATGAATAAACTTGCTGTAGTATTATTAATTTCAAAGTATGATCTTCTAGATAAAGATAATTGCAGGGCRAAAATAACTTCAGAAAGCTAGCTTTGTCTAGCGATTGTGGGAATGRAAGAGGTGCAGTCTACCGAAGTGAAAACAAGTTTATTCACATCCTTGATTTGTGTTTGTACCATGCAGAAACGAACAAATGGAATTAGAAGAAACTCCAGACACGTGGACCCAGGTGCGTATCTTGTATTTTGAGCAGTTGCATGGGAAAGGGAGTGTTGTAGCTTGCTGCATTGACTTATATTGTTATCACCACTACAGTGTATGCATTGGGGGGATCTTTATTGCTCARGTCTTGAAGGTCTCAAACAGTTACTTAGTGATTTCAAAGATAACGTCTGGGGACTGAACTCTCATTTTTTAACTGTTTTTTTTAAAGCAGTATTTCAGTTGCAGCTGAGCAGTGAACTGCCTTTGGGCTTTTGGTTGCGAGGTCCCCACCCTATTGTACTGTGAAGTTTTTAAAAGAAATAGCTCAGTGAAGAGAAGCAGGCAAAACTTCTCATCCACACAGCTGGGGGTATTCTCAAAATCCCCACCTGCAGTGTGAGTTGTAGGTGCCTGGTGCTTAACCATGCTGGATATGAGCTGCCCTTCTAAAAGGAAATTGCTGTTTTATGTAGAATTTCAATGTAATTTTATTTTTCACATTTRTAGTAGGTGTTTTCTGTTGAATCATGGCAGCAGCCCTTAAGAAAATAAATGCTTGCTTAAGCGTGCTTGCTTTTAGACTCAAGTGGGTGAGCATTTTCCCTAGAGACCCATTATGTGTCTGAATAAAATACTCTATGGTTTTCGATATAGCTATGTGATATTTTTGGTGTCTTTTTTAACAATTATTACACTTTCTTCCTTTATGTGCTTCTTGCATAGTTTAATTTCTGGAGATTTGTTATGCAGATAATATTTGGAATAAACTAAGCTGTGGCTTATTAAGTATTTCTAGATGTGGACACCTGAGAATATTTGGAATCAAACATAAAACAGAATAGTAACTTCATAGCACATTATAGCCTGGCAGAGCTGAACACTTTTTAAAAAGCGAGAAGCTGGTTGCGCCAGGAGCGTTACAGCTGCTTTGGCTCTGTTGCAACCAGCAGAAGCAAACCACACCTTTGCTCCCCAGCTGCCTGGGACATGTCTTGGAACACGTAGCGTCGCACGGTTCCCGCCAGCACCAAGGTTGCTTCCTGGTGCTCCTACCGTGTGTCTCCGTGTGCCATGATCGTGCTCCCCACCCTGCCTCTGGACAGGGCTTCTTTAAGAGGGAAATGCTCCCCTCCTCTCCCTYTACCTACAAGTGCTGAAAACAATTTCAAAGGGGGAAGCATTAGCAGCATTAAAGAAATAATTAAGAGGACACTCTTAAGTGAGACAGTTTCAGTACTTCCATTTGTAGTGAATGCTGCTGTGAACTGTGATGTATAATGATAGGCTATTTGTAGGTCTAGATTTTTAAACATTGTTGTCTAATATTAGACCTCTAAAACCTGAAGTAATTGAGCTTTGAGACATTTTCAAATACACTGCCAGTTTTAGCTTGCCTTTGAATTGTTGGTCTTCAATGAAAACTAAGTAAACTATTCTTGTGTATAAAGATCACTTAAGTGCATCAAAATATCACTGAAGTCACTGGAGTCATGAATTTAAATGTTCAAGTTCATAAGCTCTATACATTATGGCTCTGCTTCTGTGCTTTTACTTGCATGGAATGGTGTTCTGCAATGTTGCAGGAATTTTATAGATTGAAGTTCTTTTGCCCTCATATTTTTGAAAGCCAAAAGAATTTCAGATCACCTGAAGATGACAGTAGTTTGTGCTTTTTAAAGTTATCCTTTTATTAGAAGATGTTATGGCAGAATACKGTTGTATGGGATTGCTTCTGACATCACCAGTTTATAACAACAATACTAATAAAAAAAGAAAACAAACAAAGCTCCCAAGCCCTGATATAGGCATGCTGATTGTGCTCTATACAGAGAGGCGGATAGCTTTCCAGGTTTTCTAGTGGCCTGAGCCGTGCTTCTCTTGCATTTCATGGGCACGTGTGTTCGGACTGCTGTGGTAACGTACTGGAGATAACATGGAGACAGGAATGTCTGTGGGTTATCGCCTGACATCTCCTTTGCGTATTCTAAATAATAGTGCTCATCAGTTTGCATATTGCTGCGAGACAGAAGATGCTATCCAGAGAGCAGCACTTGGGAGAGCTGGGTCAGTTATTTCAGGCATATGTTACCATGTGAGATCTTTTCAAGAACACTGGTGTATAAATCTCCAGAAATCTTAGCACCACAGTAATGTTTTTGCTGCAAGTGGTAGTTAAGGTCAGAGATACCAATTAGGTKTGATATACAAGCCTTAGAAAAATGCTCGCTGCCCAGATGAGTTCACATCGAAGAGGCCTGATGCGTGATTGCTTTCCATATTGCATGTTAGGWTACTGAAGCACGGATACTAATTTAGGAAAGCAGCCATTTACTGTGCATCAGTTGCGTGCACCTGCAGTGCCTGAATATCGATGTAGTTTGGTATCAGCAGTAAATAAAATTACTGTGGCTACGAGTGCTTCTGCATAACCTTTTCAAAATGCTGTTTCTGTCTTGTGTCACTCTGTTCTCTGGCTTTGTCCCTTCTCACACTGATGAAGGCAGGAGGCACTGCCTAACCCTGGTCAGGACTCATTCTCCTCTTACTGTGCTTGTAAGAGCTACATTCAGCCTCTGGGAGTGCAACTTAGCCCTGAATGAAGGAACATTTAACTCATGCTTAAATTGGAAGAGAGGGACTGAAGGAAAGGATGGTGTAAAAGAAACAGTTGTTAGTGGAAAGACGTTGAGTTAAAATACTTTTCATGGTAGAGCACTTTGATAGAGGAAAATACTTGGCTGTAATACTCAAAACGCAAAAAAACAACCCCCCCAACAAAAACCTAGCTATTTCATCTGTTTTTCTCTGAAGTTTGGTTAGAAGTAACAATTACCTCCTCGAGACTGGCTTTTTCCTCTTTCTTCTTAACAAGAAGGTGAGACAGAAGGTAAAGTTATAATGGATAAGGATGGGGAGAGACTCATAGGCAGCGAGGGTGATGAAGGAAGAAATATGACCAGAAGCTGTAGATATGAGCAAAAGAAATTAAGAGGTTTTGTTTGTTTTTGTGTTAATTTCTTGTCACTCTGCTTTGCTCTGTGAGTCTACCATGTAGTTCAGTTCAGAAGGCCTTCTGAATTGGTCATCTACTAAGTTTTGGGGACAGRTTTTGGAACCTTCTTTAGAATAGGCAGCAAATTATAAAATTTATTGACAGAAAGAACCTGTTAAGGCATCTGCACCTCTAAATCTTAGAAATATGCAGTCTAAATTTTTTTTACTGTAGAGGAATGATTAGGTTGTTTTGTCTGGAATGGCTGTATAGCATGATAATTATTTAACTGTTTTTCTTCCACTCTGAGGGATCTCATTAAAGTTTATGTACGTGTTGAATTTTAAGCATGTGATTTGCCCTGTTGACTTAGCTGACAAATGGACTGTTTATATGCTTAAAAGTAAGCATAAACTTAGATTTGCATCTTTTTTCTCGTCTTTAGCAATTATTTAGCATATATTTTAATGAGYAAAACCCCAAACCCTTCCTTGTGTTCCCTCTTGCATTCCTTGTTGTGTTCCTGCAAATAATGCACTGTTYGCTGTCTGTTTGTTTCTGAGGGTATAAAGAGAGTGTGATGGGTTCATAGTTTAGTGTTATTCTAACTAGTTTTACCCTAAACACTTGTGCCAATATAAATATTGAAACTTCAATATCTCAAACTGTGAAAGCATATTTCATATTAGAATGATAAACTTAGTAAAAATAGACCAGTAGATGCCTTTTACACAATTTACTGCAGACTAACTCAGTGTCTAATCTGTGCAAGAAAGTYCTCATGCAAGCAGATTGTTTATTTGCAAGCATGGTTTAAGTTTCAGGAAAAGCTTAGCCTTGAGTTAAGGGTCAGAACCAAGATATCTCCCTCTAGAAGATCCAATTTATTTATTTTCCTTGAAACTTTCTTTTAGTTTTACAGTTAATGTATTCAATGACTTCTGTATTATTCTTGGGCAAAGGTGTTTCTTAGTCTTGAGAGTTTGAAATGCAAATATTAATTTAAAAAATGCTTAATTATATTTCTGGTAAATATCTGGTCCATACATGTTTTGTGAAGCAGTACTTTAATATTGATTTTACACTGATTATAAAGGAAAGGATCTGAAGGGAATAACTGGATTATGGTCTGAAGGTATACACATTAAAAATGTGCACTGAGTAGTACAGCATTAGGGATATGTTCATTTAATTAGACGTGGTAGGAAAGCAGCTGCCATTTTGTTGAAACTGGATTGTGAAATCTTGTAACTTGTGTTGTGTCATTGTTCTATATGTATGAATGTTTAGTGAAACAATGTACAGGTGTGTGTGTGTTGTGGTAATGACTGTCTAGTCTTCAGAGTGAAAATTAAGAAATACTGTAATATTGACAGTTTAAATTATGAATTAATTTTCCATTTGGGACTGAGGAATATTAAGATTATTAAAATTGTATTGCAACAAATTCTGGCACAGYTTGTCATGTGATGGGCAAGTCTGCCTCTGATTTTAGTTTCAGTGCTGCTCGAAACACCTATCCAGCCAAATGCAAAATCTGGCCCAAATTCAAATGTTGGGATATCCCAACCTACAGTGAATTCCCTGCCAAGCATGTGGCCATTATGTATAAAGGTACCACCTAGTTAACTGAAAATTCAAAGCATGTCTCTGATTTTCTTGTCTCATGAATTACTCAGCCAAGTCCTTGAAAGTCTTGGTTAACCTTTGCCTTTCTACAGTCTGCCCAAATACATGGAGAATAACCTGTTTCATGAACAAGAGACAGTTTTCTGCAACATTAAAGGCAGTTCTGGAAATTAGTCTTCYAAAAGACTTGAGCAAGAGACAATTCCAAGTGATCTTGGGTGGATCTCTGGTGATCCTTTACTAACTTACTATCAATACGGTTGATGAGAAGAGGGATTCATCTTTTAAGTCACAGACTAAGTGAACAAAAATGCCAGGATTAAACAAACGGTATTCAATTTTTCTGGAGCCAAGTAAGGAGCTGATCAACTAATACAATCTCTTAATTATGAACATCATCAGCA